GGATGATTAGTGACTTTGAGCATGTTTTCATATGTCTCTTGGCCTTCCTTATGTCATCTTCTGAAAAGTATCTACATAGGTCCGTTGCCCATTTTTTTAATTGGGTTGTTTATCTTCCTTTTGTTAAGTTGTATGAGTTAGACCATTGATTTTAACCATTAGGATCCCTGTGGTGACTTTAGGGAGAACGGTTTTGTTAGAGAGCGCCAAAAAAAGATTCTCATAAGAAATTGGGTTGCACTATTCTGGACATCAGCCGGAGGATCAAAAGATCCTTTATCTCAAACCCATTTCATCAATGACTCTTGAAAGACTCGCCCTTTTTGTTCTTCTGGAGAGCACCTTTCTTGAAATTAAATGTGATGCTGTCCTGTGATTCTTTCCCTGTTTTAGTTCTGTCCAAAGATATCCTAAGTTCCCTTTCATCTTACAATATTTTATTATTTTCTTCTGTAACTGGAGAATAGTTAGGTAGTAATAGAACTTCTTTTTCTTCCCCATAATCTTTATGTAGCATCCATGCATTTAGGCTAGATTTTAAGAAAGACATATATAGTTCCAAGTAATATTCCTGTGGCCAAGTTGTCAGGAGTATCATTACCCACATGGAGATTTCAAGTGTTTATTGGCCAGAGCTACATAGAAATCAATATCAAGGGTTCACAAAAGAAAGATGAGCTACATACTACAAGACAAATGACAGTACTATTCATAATCTCTCTCTTCCCATCTCTTCTGATAATGGTCCCCACTACTGATTAATGAGAGTTATGTTGGTGTTGAAGACAGAGTTGAACTAGGACTATATTGTGAGTGAGGTTCTATATGGAAAAGGGTTAAAGAGACGTTCTCAAACTTTTGGTCTCAGGACCCTTTTACACTTGGAAAATTATAGAGGAGTCCACAGATGTTTTTGTTTATATGGTGCCATAGACTGAATATTCATGTCTCCCCAAAATTCATATGTTGAAACCTAATCCCCAATGAGATGGAGGGAGGGGGCCATTAGTAAGTGATTACATAATGAGGGCAGAGGTCTCATGAATGAGATTAGTACTCTTATAAAAGAAACCCCAGAGGGCTTCCTTGGTCCCTTGCATCATGTGAGAACAGTGAGAAGACAGATGTATATGAATAGGAAGCTGGACTTCACCAGACACTGAATCAGATAACTTGATAATGCCCCACAGTCACTGAGGCTTGAATGATTTTGTTTTTTTCTCCCTTGGCTTCAGTTTAATTGGTTCCATTGATTTGCCTTCAACTTCACTTATTTTATTTTGTAACTAGAGGCCTGGTGCACAAAAATTTGCACTCGGTGCAGGAGGAGGGGTCCCTCAGCCTGGCCTGTGCCCTCTAGCAGTCTGGGACCCCTCAGGGGATGACCACCTGCTGGCTTAGGCACGCTCCCCAGGGGATTGGGCCTAAGATGGCAATCAGAAATCCCTCTGGCAGCCCGGCAGCCCTCGGGGGATGTCCACTTGCCAGCGGGGAGCAGGCCTAAACTGCAGTCAGACATCCTTAGCACTGCTGAGGAGGCAGGAGAGGCTCCCACCACCACCGCTGTACTGGTAGCCATCAGCCTGGCTTGTGGCTGAGCAGAGCTCCTCCCATGTGAGAGCACCCTGACCACCAGAGGGCAGCTCCTGCATTGAGCGTCTGCCCCCTGCTGGCCAGTGTGTGTCATAGTGACCATTC